AGTGCTTAGCTGATAGTATCAGGTGCTCACCACATAGTATCCAGTGCTTAGCTGATAGTATCAGGTGCTCACCTGATAGTAGCTGGTGCTCACCACATAATATCTGGTGTTTACCTGATAGTAAAGGGTGCTCACCACATAGTATCATGGCTCACCACATAGTATCCAGGGCTTAGCTGATAGTATCAGGTGCTCACCTAATAGTATCTGGCGTTTACCTGATAGTAAAGGGTGCTCACCACATAGTATCTGGTTTCTTTGGAAGATTGTATGTTACCACTCAAATTCACATTACCCTCGGGCGCAGTACACTCACAGAAATCAACAGCAAGCAGCTCTGGAACTACGGAAAGCAGGAAAAAAGTTCGAGAAAGGCTGTATGGAAAAAAGGTTGGCACAGTCGGTTACAATGGCCATTTAACGTTAACCTTTCTGACTGTTTTGCGTTCCGTAGTTCCAGAGTTGCTTGCTGTTAAATGTCTGTTCAGTGAGTGTAGCGCCCGGGGGTTTGTGTTGTGAAGGGAAACTTGAATTGGATGCAAGACTGGCAGCTTTATGGAGACTCGAATCGTCCCCTAATTGGTCCAACATCTTTATTACAAACTAAGCTTAGATTAAATGGGTTATTTACAGTTGGTACAGACATCTTGCATAGCGCAGCCTTGTGAGGTGGTGCTGGGGGTATTTAGCTCAGCGTGTGAGTGTGGTGATCTCCTCACTTTAGGCTCCTGTGTTTTCATATTTATGAGTGGAGCATGAGTAGGGCATCATCAGGAGGTGGTAATGTTGTTTGACTGATTTGCATACGGTGATGTGTCATGGTACTTTGGTACGAAGACATGTCATCCGCGCCTATAGCAGAGTTGAACCAGAGGGGCACAGCAGAGGTGGAAATGACCACGATAAAAATTATATTTTTACTGTTTGGAAAGATGTGTTCACATTTTAAGCAAGGCATTTCAGCTATTAATGAAAAAAAGGTCTTAGGGTGGAGTTACTCTTGAAAGCTCTGTGTTCAGCTATAAGAAATACTGATAAATAAGAAAATTGTTGGCAGGGACACACAACACTCTATCTCTCTCAAACACACACACACACACACACACACACACAAACTGAATATTATATACTTTTCCCTTCCTCTCTCCCCTTTTATATTGTATATGTATATTTTGTAATTATTTTATTGTTATTTGCTGTACTGTGCCTTGAAAGACTTATTTTAAATAATTTGTAATATTAGTATTATGTTTATGTTGTAATGCATAAACATGTGCGTCAGCAGGGACACTCAGTTCTGTGGACTGTGACAACGCTATCTCTCTCAAGCACAAACACACACAAACAAACTGAATATTATATCAGTTTCACAGTTTAACTGTACTGTGTGTCTTGAGAGACTTATTTTAAATACATTGTATTATTATAATTCCATGTTGCAGAGCTACAAAAAATTACCAACTGATTTTTTTCATGTGGATTTTTTATTTATTTATTTATTTTCTTGGTTTTGTTTTGGCTTGATTTTTGTTTTGTTTTTATTGCCAAATTCCCACACTTCTGCTCTGAACTGTAAATCTGCATGGGTTACCAGAGCTCAGAGTAATTTGTCATTTTCCTTAATTCAGTTCACAAGTGTTATGAATTTGCCCAATTCCTAAATAATTCTTCAGTAATTTTGCATGAGACTGTAAAATTTTAGAAGTAATCACAGCATCTCAATTACCATTTGAATAGGATAAGGGTGATGATGCGATTGCAAAATGTCCCTCTCCGCTCGTAATCCATCTTACATTTAAGACCACGGGCAGCTTCAGGTAATGAGCTAGCAAAACACAAGTACCTCAGGTAGGGTCTGTGAGCACCAGGTCATATTGCTTCTCTTTCAGCATCTTCATCATGTCTTCATCCTCAAACATGGCTGTTGTCAAGAGACAAAGTTCACTACTTTCTTTGGATCATCCAAGGCCTGCAGTTGTCCTCTGATGAAATTTAGTGTTGAGCTTGTGCTCCTCTCTAAATCATATACAATCCAAAGAATGTCTTTCGTGAATTGTTCATCAAAACCTTCAGGTCACAGGTACTGTTATAGCACTGTAATAGGGAGATTCGTCCTTGATGTACCAGCTCTTGAACGTACAACGTCAATTGTATGTCCACGTTTGTGTAGTGCTTGGATAAGTATTCCCATGTTCACTCAGTGGCTTCTGTCAAGCGGGACCACCAGTATTTTACCACCCTGGGAAGCAGGCCCTGAGGTACCTAAGAGTGTTATGAAGACAAGGTATCTGATAAAATTTGTATGTAAACACAGAGTCATTTTTAAGCCCTAAAAAAGGGAAAGAGACAGATTCAGAATATCACATGCACTTTTAATTTGATCTAAATGTTTATGCTTTTTACCATGGACAACAATTCATGTGCCAAATTCTACCAAATTAGGTCAATCTGTGTTCCCACAGTCTTTTAGTGGCAAAATGGAATGTTCAATCATCTATCTTAGTATATCTAACATAATTAAAGTATAGGGTCACTAGAAGCAAAAGCATTATAGTCAGAAATAAATACATACAGCTACACAAGACAACATATAAAATGGACAAAAAATATATACTTTTGAATATTTACTCATAAACCTACCACAAATGGTCTCACAGACTCACTTGCTTTCAGCTAGCATGAAGCTATAGAATGCCCTCTCTGTTGTGAGTTATGTACCATGCTCTTACTTCTACTCTACTTATTTTTCAGATGAGATCAGCCTTTTGTTAAAAAGACCCAGGGTATGAATATTGTTTTGCAGTGCTGCCCTGAACCGTTCCTCAGCAGTTAATGTATTGCTAAACATTGATCTTTGCACTTTGCTTTTTTTTTCTTCCTTTTGTGAAAGACAAACAAAGATCAGCTCATGTATAACAACTGCTTCAAATGGCATAATTCCGTTGATAATAAATACAAATAATCTGTCTTAATAAACATTTAATTTCATTATAATTTTAAGATAGAATTACTGCCACTATTAAATAAAATTTTATTGAATTTTATTTATTTTATTGAATAAAATATTACAATAAAACCACTTTTAGTGCCTCTGTATTTTTTTTTTCTTTTTTTGCATCTGTCATGGTAGAAAGACTGAGATAACACACAAGAGAATGCAGAAGTACGCCCTCCCCCTCTTGTTTACCCCACAGCATGCTGCAACATGGTGCAATAGGAACTACTTTTGTATAATTGTATGCAAAAGTTTGAACACCCCTGGTCAAATTGCTTGATTTTCTATATGAAACTAAGTTAACACTTCCTCCACAGGGACTAACTTAGACGTGGCGTTTTTCTCCCTAGTACACAATTTCTATTAATTTGTTGGCTTTAACATATTTGAAAAATAAAATATAAAATATGAAATATACAAAATATGCCACAAAAATAAAAGATGTTTTATTGTTTCCTGTATGTTGAATTCAGCAAATAAACAGTAATTGTGCATTAAAACCAACCTTTTTGCAGACAACAGTAGGTCATTGCATGATCTCATTGTGCAAACCAAACACTCACTGTTCACACAATAAGGCCTGTTGGTGTTCAGAGGTGTTTGATGGGTTGAGGTCAGGACTCTGTTTAGGCCAGCTGTCAGCAAACTGGCTTACTTGTAATTTTAATTTTTATTTTATTATTATTTCTTTTAATTTGATTAAGGGCCCAAGGCGCCTGGCAACCTGGTTTTTCACCGCCTAAAATATTTAAATCAGTAAAAGCTGCACTATGTTAAAACTTAAAGGAGGCACATTACTGAATTAGGAGAAAAGAACACACTAAAATATGATGTGCATGCACTGCTGCAAGTTGCCCTGCAAAGCCTGAAATGATTTAAAGGTCAGATATGTGGTTTCGGATTTTGCTGGAGGTTTTCAGACCAAATGTCACACACACAGACTCAAAAAGAAGGTCTGACTGGATATTTGAGTCTCAAATGCAAAATCAACATTATACTGATGAAGGTATGATGACAATAGTAAATAATTCACTCACATCCTCAGAAGACACGTCCTTCACCACGTTTTGACTGAGTTTTCTTTGAATTCTCTTTCAACACGCTCACAATCATCAGATTTATCCACTCAAGGAAGGGGTCCAAGCCAGAACCAACGTTGTAAAATGATTATGATTTGCAGGCTGGAGTGGGATGAAATCTTGCAAGAGCAGGCGGGAGTGGGCCTGAAAGAGTCCTCAGAGAGTCCTCTACCTCAGAGAAATACAATTCTTCATTGGATAATTTTCTACCTGTGTTTCAAGAATTTGACCCTTTTAATTCCATCCAAAACTTAACAATGAAAAGAGTAGTACTGTAATGTACTGGACTGTACTGTAATACCTGTAGATTTTAAATACAAGCATGATTCTGTTCAATAAAAATAAACAATGAAAATGACAGACATATATATATTTATAAGTTCCCAGAAATCATTAGGCCTTCTCTGAGGGCCTAGAAGGTCCTGAGAGTTTCCCTCTGGTATATTCATGTTTTGGAATCTATACCATATTTTAGGTTAAAGATGGACATTCAGGTAACATATTTTTAATTCATGTGTTCTAGCTTTCTTTTTCTGTAAAATAAGCATCAGATGCCTTTGACCTTCACAATATCAATGCTGCTCACAACCATCATAATGAATCATGAATGATCAAGTAACTGTCTATCCATCCTCTAGCTCCTCTCAATCAAGAGTCATAAAAGAGTCATTCTAAGACTAAAATAACTTTAGGATGACTTGTATGATATTTATAATGACAGTTATATTTCATATACCTGCAGGTAATTAAGAAAAGTTGAAATGTCTTAATAAAGTGGCTGTTAAGTGTATAGATTTATAGCCATGTATGTTTTACATAATTATAATAGAAAAATGACAGTGAGAAATGAATAAAATCTCATAAGTTATTTTATTATGAGATCCGTAACACTCAAATTAGCAAGAACATTCAGTGAAATGTATCTAAAGATCACTCCTTTAATTATTTTCAAGTATGTATGAAGCTGAGAAAAATACAAGAACATGAATACATTAAAAAGTCATTCATACTTTTAATAGGATTTCATTTCAGCGCTGAATATATTAAGCACTGCCTTTTGCAAAGCAGATTTGAATATATTCTTTTCTCTGATCGTTCTTATTCTTTTCACTATCACTTTATTAACTGAGCAGTATGATATGAATCAACCATATATCATGTTATAGAAACAAATGCCTGCACATTTGTAAAGCATTGCAGTGTAAAGAAACACCTTAACTCTTCATTTAAAACACATCAATGTTAACAGATCAGATATGAACTTTTATTCAAATCTTTTGGTCAGTCGGTGGTCATTTCAAATAGCATGTTCATTACATTCTTCTTAGACTGAAGACAGAAAATGTTAGAAAATGTCCTGGTTGTACAATAATGAAGTCACTGTGCTTTTTCCTCATGCTTTGTGCAGATCTGTCTACTGTGCTGCGAGAGACTTCGCTGGTTTAGCTGCTGCTGCCAGCATAGTTTGGAACAATGATGTTGGCCCATTTGTAAATGACAGGAATGAAGAGAAGAGCAGAACCGAGAACAGATACCAACAGGAAGGCCCACAGGAACACGCGGTCTAACACTTGAGCCACAAACTTCCAGTCCTGAACAACCTGAGAAGAGATACAAAAAAAGAGAGAAGTGTTACACTGGGATGTTCTAAAACAATTCAAAATTAAAATTCATATGATTCATATAATTTATCCATCCACTGTTCCATTTTACCATTAAGTTACTCATTGCCTCAATTGAAATAAGGTTTGAATCTGTTTTTTTGTTGTCTGAACTTATACATGTAGTTGTATACATGCAAGCTTTTAAGCTCATTTTTGTTGCTTTATCATTATTTGAGATGCAACTTCCAGCTGTCTGTGAAGCCTTAGCTATGCTAACCAACACAACGAGATGCCTGTGGAGTGATGTTTTGACGTACAGTACGCCCCTTTGCAGTCCAGGTTGAAAGCTGAGTAGCACTTCAAAGTGGGATGTCATGCGGATGGTAATGTGGCTCTAGTTTTAGCTTAAATGTTTAAATAAGGTCTGTCTATGCTGTTTTACTACACTGCTTTATTTTTGACTTTTTACACAGATAAAATACAATTTTGACATGTATTTAACAAGATAACAAAGTGCATCCAAACTTAATATTGAACCAATATGTAAATATGTTGTTTGTTGTGTGAAAACAACACCTGAACGAAAAATATGAGCTAGTAAACAGAAATGAACTAACCTGCTGTAGGAGTTCAGACTCTGCCCTGTACTCACTTGAATTTTCAACCATACAGTACAAATAACCTGCCTGGATTCAGCAACTAATGGCAAGAAATTAAGTAATCATAACTTTATTTAAGTAAGATTAACATCAGGCCATTTCAGTTTGTCACCATTTATACTATACTGTACACTAGCATTCAAAACTTTGGAAGCACTTTCCATATTTATATATTATTTACATACACTATTATAATACTCTAAACTACCGTACCACCCCCCCCCCTCTAGAAAGGTGCAACAGAGCCAGCAGGTGTGCCTGCTCGGTGCTAATTAGCGCTGGGCATTCTGGGCCTTGGAGTTTTTTGACCCAGCTCCAGCAACTCTTCTACTGCGTGGAATCGGCCCCCTGCTGGCAACCAGGCTGACCCTTTGCACATATGGCATTATATTATATTGTATTATATTATATTATATTATATTATATTATATTATATCTTAAATATGGATATTTGTTTTATTATCATATCATGCAATCTTTTTAGAATCATCTGCATCTCTGTTCATCATTGTTGACACATTTAAAGCCTCTTATTTATTTTTCTTACAGCTTTCTATTAATTGTTATGTAAATGTAATTATTTGAGTACAGTTAAGCGTGACCACTACATTCAGTTAATTTCATATGGCAGGAAATAAATGAATTTATTTACATACTGGATGTTGTTTTTTTAATTGTTTCCAAAGTCTTATTTTATGGCATAGTCCCCAGTAGATTATCTATACAAGTTCAAATGGTTAACTAATTATGTGCTAAAATTACTACCAAGTTTAGATTTAGGACCAGGATGAGGATTAGGTTTAGGGTGTGGGTTGAGGTTAAGGTTAGGGTTAGCATCTACAGTGGGCTTTTCAGATACAGTGTAAATAGATTCCTAACTTTTGAGGTGTGGTGTATCTACATCCACAGAAAAGCAGTCCGTTCTCCTCACCTCTCTGACTTCATTCTCCTTGACCACATGGAGAGTGATGTAGCGAATGGAGTCTAGTGCTGCTTGCAGGTTGTATCTTGAGTTGAGCAGAGGGGTGGTCTCTTGAGGGAAACCCTTCCCATAGCCTCCTGTTCCTTCAGTCTGCGCTCCTCTCTGGCTCCCTCCAGTGGTAGCATAGCGGTCGACGTGACTGCGCATGCAGAGCAGCTTAGGCAGCCTGTGCAGGAAGATTCTACGGACCCAGGGTGCCATGCCATGATGCGTGGACGAGGAGCGGTGGTGAATGTTGATGGCAAAGACTGTGATGACAATGGAGAGTGTGACGAAGATCATGGTGAAGACCAAATACTCGCCAATGAGCGGGATCACCTGTGGAGATGGACATGGTTCAGGTTGTTAAGCTGTACAAGCCAGTGAACAGTAGTGACTAGTTCAGTTTATGAACTATATTGATCATCTTAGTCATTTATCGTAAGGAGCTCATATCTTTGTTTTTTCCTGTGGTCCACTTATGATATGTATATGCTTTTATGTACACTAGTAAAAACAATGGTTCCTCAAAGGTTGTTTAGTAAAGGCAATGGTTCTATATAGAACCATGAACATTCAAGGAGATCTTTGAATGCACACGTTTCTTTACATGGTCAAATGGTTTTTCTTTATGATGGAAAACCAGTTGTTTAAAAATGGTTCTATATAGCATTAAAAAGGGTTCCACTATTTCTATTAGTCAAATAACCCTTCATTCTACACACTTAAGAATGATGGTTCCACAGGGCTTCTTTATTAAAGAAAATGGTTCTATATAGAACCATGAACACTCAAAGAACCATCTGCATGATTAAAGGGTTCTTTGCATTGTGAAAGAGTTTTTCAGATTGGTGGAGAATGTGCTGTACAGAGCCTTTTTTGCAAAGGGTTGTATTTAGCACCAAAAAGGGTTCTTCTATTGTTACAGGCCTGACATCATAATAATACAAGAACCATTTTTGGTGGTATATCGAACTCTTTTTCAAAATTCTCCATCAATCTGAAGAACCCCTACATGTTGTGAAGAACCCTTTAATCATGCAGAGGGTATTTTGACTGTTCATGGTTCTATATAGAACCATTTTCTTTACTAAAGAACCCATGAAGAACTATCATTTTCAAGAGTGTAAGAGTGTATGTTTATGAGTAATATATGAGTTTATGAGTAATATATGTTAAAGACCTCTGCTCTGATTCGCTGCCCTGTGCTGTGCCTCATCCTGAAGCAGTCTAGACATAAACACTGACTTAACTTCTAACTTAAAGGAAGGCGAACATGCTGTAGACTGAATAGATGGATTTATGGAAATGCATCGGTTTTTGTGACATCACAAACATTGCACTTAAAATAGGTTATTTTGCACCTTATATTTTGGGGGAACTGTACATTTCGAAACATTTATAGTGTTCATATACTATAATCAACCTGTTTAAAACTAAAAATGTGTTTAAAATCCAGCTTTCTGTGATATGGGACCTTTGAATTGGGATAAAACTGCTTAGAAATTCAGTCAGCACTGTCAAACATACATGAAAAATGTACAGATGGAATCAAAAAAGTACAGCTGAACCTGTTCACCTTACCTTAGAAGAAGATGGGATGATCTCCTCTATCACCAGGAGAAAGACAGTGAGAGAGACGAGAACAGATGTACAAAGAGAAATCTTTTCTCCACAGTTAGAAGGCAGATAGAAGACCAACACAGTCAGAAAGGACAGGCCAATGCAGGGAACGATGAGGAACAGTGTATAAAAGAGAGGGAGACGTCGGATGATGAAGGAGTAAGTGATGAAGGGATAGGAGCAGGTGCTGTCCATCCTCAAACCCCGGCTGCCTGTAGCTGTCACGATCTCCCACTCACCATTATCGAAGTAGTCTCGCTTATCCACATGGACGTCCTCCAGGAGAATGTCCACCTGAGAGATGTAATGCAGGATGTTTTTTTCCATCTCATAAAGAAGTTATCAGAAGCATCTGAACACCTGTTTGTAAATCTGTAAAGTCAGGCTTTAAACCACTAACTAGATTCATATATATATATATATATATATATATATATATATATATAGTTTGCTGCATTTCAAGATGTATTTTGTTATATTAGTATGTGACAATAAACCTGTGAGCCATCATAGGTCCAGGAGCCAAACTTCATGGAGCAATTCTGAAGATCAAAGGGGAAGAAGGTCACATCTATAGTGCAGGCAGATTTGTAGTTAGCTGGTGGCGTCCAGGAGATGGTGCCATCATACTTCACCACTGCTTTAGTAACAGTGGCCTCGAAATGGCCATCTGCACTATTGAGAAATATAAATTGTTTAATATTTCATAACATAAGCAAGACAACCAGCATGAAGTTGGTTTCTTTTGCTTAAATAGTACATTTATGATCAAGCGCATTTGAAAATCAACTGAACACTGAATGTATAGAAATTTGAGAATTTTGTTCTTTGTTGCAAAGTAGCTGCAGTGGCTGTTCTGAGGGAATAAATGATAATACCTACTTGTCATAGAGCACAATGTCAGGGATCCAGATGGAGTCAGAGGGCACTCTGATAGATGTGATACCCAGGTAGTGGGCAGGGTCCCATCGCAGCTTCATGTCAACCCATTCCTGTACAAAATAAATGACCTCAGAGGAAAACCACAACCCGGAAAGTTACATGAACAACACTAAAGATTTATAGCTTGTTCTGAACTCCGTTGCTGAGGGTGACTTATGACTTATGCTCAGTGTATGAGTGCAGACCATGCCCTAAACCGAGCTTAAGGCAGGCAAGGAGGAAGTTTGATAACCTTGGGCTGGAGTTTTGGATGGTTTCTGCTGTATACTGGAAGCCGCACCCCCATCACTCAGCAACTGACAGCAGGTTTGGAAGAAGAGGGGGAGACAGGGTGGCAGTGGGGTATAAAATTTGTCACAGGAATTGGAAGCAAGAGAGTGAAATTTATTGGGCATAAAATGGAGTGGAGTCCCAGGTGTGGTCTTTCTCCAAATCTGAAGTCATTTCATAACTCCCTTTTATTCTGAAGTTTGTATCTATGTTCACGGAGGCCATTCCTAAACACTGGAGCAGCACACAGCAACAGTAACGTTCCAAATACTGATCTTTCTTTTAACCCCTCTCTAACAGACCAAGTTTGCTGTCCCTATATACCAGGAACAGTCAGGGGCATTTCAAGTTTCTGAACCCTGAGCAAATGCATTTTGGACTCGGTGTCTCATTAAAATGTTCCTTATTATACACTGTTCAGTCTATCTACCAACACAAATACTCATTAAAGTTGGCAGTCTTAAACCATTGATAAGCTCACTTGGAAAAAATCTTGTCAGAAGCCGCTTTTCAGTGTTTCAATATTCTCTTCTACTGTATTTTTCCTCTCTCATTTTCACTCTTTTTGCTCTTATTTCAGCAACATGATTTCAGTTTGTTTTTCAGGTTTGTGTGCTTTTCCATCAGCACACCACCCATTGCATCCATTTTGCTAATGCTAATTTAGTTATGATATTAACTGCTTAGAAAATTCACACCAAAGAAAGGTTTTTTTTAGCTTGGGCAGTCATATGTGATGCCTCTGGGCAGAGTCACTCTCTTTGTGTCCCCATCAGCCTTGTTAGTCCTTACTTTGTGCAACCTATGACCCACTGACCTCTCTAGAAGCATTGGAGTGCCTGCTGAATTGAGCAGATACAATTTCTGCTGAAGATATATAGCTGTCAGGGGATGGACAGGAGCACAAGGAGAATGAGAATCAATCTGTGGTCTGGGATTGAAAGAGGAGGAGGAGGAAGGAAACTGTGTATACTGTGTACATATCAGATCACAGATGTCTATAGAACCATGAGTGGTATTACTTTATATTAAGAACTAGTGGAGCTTTAATCTAATGCATTACCTGCTTCATCCAGACATTGGTGGTCATCAATTGGTTCTTCTCATCCTTGTGGGAAAAGGTCACAAAAAACATTAAATGTTATTTAGGGTCATCTGCACCTATAAGACTGAATGATGTTATCCAGTTTTATATATTTTCCATACCTAGAATAACCTTTTAATTCTAAATGTGCATTAACTATTATTTTTCCTAAATTAAAATAGCTTTACTTAATAATCAATACTCACCACATCTACTAGCTGAGAGATGGCCAGTCCAAATTTAACCCTCACTGTCCCATTCAGGTCTTCTACCGGTCTCACCCATTTCTGGTAGTTGCTGAATAGATGCTTGAACAGTTTGTCCTCAGTTTTGGCATATGAAGATAGCTTGGGGGGAGCTAAGGCAAAACAAAAGCACCACATAAGTCCCTTTCCTTCCACGTCATGATCCACTGGGCAAAAAACCACAAGATCGAATTATACGGATGCAACTAGAACATATTTCTCTCCAACACAATGATTTCAAAGATTTATGAGTGTCTGAGCTGATGCCTAGTCAATAAGTCCCTTAATCCTGAACTGAACACAATACAAATCACCTGAGGGCTTTTAGTGTCTTAGCAATTACATGGCAGATCCTTTATTTACAACTCCAGTGCCAATGCTTGGCCACAAAATGTGCACATTTCTACAGAAATACTGCAAATGTAATAGTGCTGGGTGGTACTGAAAAAGTTCAATACCACAATTTAATTTTTTTCCAAATATGTCATGATATGACAATGTCAGCTAAGCAATTATCAGATAATTAACTACTCTGTGCTAAATGCCATACAAATTTGAATCTAACTTGTTTTGACTGGACTTTTCTGTCCTGTTCTGCTTCTCTTAGACTGACACTTAAGGGAACTTTACACAGTATTGTAAACCAGATAGAAAGCACATTTAAAGAAAAGAAACATACTATTTATGTAGTTTTTTATAATGTATTCAGAACTGTTTTTTTGCAAAACAATCTGAAAAATCAAAAATCTGAAATGACACAGCATGAAATGCATAAGTTTGAACACTCCTGGTCAAATTACATGCTTGGTTGTTTTTTTTATTTGAAAATTAAGTTAACACGTCCTCTATAAATGACAAACTTAACCAACTTTGGCGACCATTGCTATTTATTTGCTGAGTATTGACTGGTATATATTATCTATTATCTATTGACTATATATATTATCCAGCGCTAAAATTTAACAGACAGTATATTTCTGGACAATAAATATGAATACACAATGACAAGCTTCTTAAATAGGTGCTTACAGAGAAACCGAGCCATTATTATATTTGGCAAATTAATGCACCCATTTGAATCCAGTAATTCAGTGCATCACTTTATTTAGTCCTAAAAGTCCATACAAGCTCAGGGAAAATGACTCCATTTTCTCTAAGGAGTCTATTTGAGATACTGGCTACAAGCACTAATGAATGTGATTTGTTTTGTTTTGTGAAGCCAGAACTGCCACTAGCAGCATCTTCTCCAATCTAATTTGACTCTCAGGGGCTGCAGGCAGTGAATAACAGAGGGAAGTCCAACGTGATTTAGTCCTCCGAAGTCCATTACTAAAGGAGCAGATTCAGTTATGAATGGAGATTTATTAGAGGTAGAAGAACAGAATTGGCTTAGAGCGATTCTCCTGGTTTCTATCATAAAATGCTGTGGCAAGATTCTCAGGAACTGAACATTATGAACCTTCTGATCCTCATTATTCAAAGTACATTTTCATTCATAATCATTTGTAACCTGACACCACTGTTGTTCTCCATGTAATTCAATTCAATGTACTGACCTGCCTGAGCATGTCACTTAATACGAGCTAATCCAATTATACCGTGAGGTCAGGTTACCGCCTGTAATGGCTGAGTCAGAGCTTTGATTGAGTTTTCACTGAGAATAACATCTGTTATAGACTGAAAGCTAATTGTAGAACCTAAAGTTGTCATGGTTTTTGGAAATCATTATACCAAAAATGTGATACAACATTACAAAATGATGTAAAAAAAAATAATTATGGAAGCAGTAACTGTGATTTGTTGTCAATACAGGTCCCCAACACAGAAAATGGAATGGGGTCAAAAGATAGATCAGTAGATATCTAGCAGATCCTCTCAATGTTCTTACCTGCCATAGAAGACAAAGAAACAGAGACAGTCTGGTGTTCTAAATATTCTACAAGTTGGCATGAGATGTGTCTCCTTCAAGCCTGAAGCAATAATACTATATCTACTACTCATATTTAATATCATGATTTCTCAATGCTGTAGTTGCATTTATTTTTTATATGTAAAGAACATGATCGGTTGGACTTTACTGGAGCCCTGCTACACAACTTCCATGGCGTTCAGGGCATGATTATGGCAATATTGTGTAGCAGGGTTCCAGTAAAGTCTACCCGATCATGTTCTTCACACATAAAAAATAAAAACTACAACCGCATTGAGAAATCATGATATTTGTTTTTTATATGTAAAACTTGATTGATAACACTTTGCTGCACAACATTGCCATAATCATGCCATTAACATGTCATGGAAGTTGTCATATGCTGTCATGGCAGATGTTGCTCAGCAATAGTGTCATGGTACTACAACCGTTAATTGTCATGACATGTTATAATAAAGCAATAAGCCACGAGAGGCTGTGCATCACTGTGATTTTATCATGGGAAAGGTGTTTTTAGGCATGAGGTGAAGCTTCCCTTCCCTGTAATAAAGTGACTCAAGAGACTTATTGCTTTTATAAAATGGCGGCCAACATAAAACATGATAAAATACCCATTATTTCAGAAAACAGTTTGAGTTATTAGTGATAATAATTGACATAACCAGGTAATCTGCTAAGAAATGTAGTTCCTTTAGAGTATGGTATCATTGCCAAGCAACCATGAACCGCTGAATGAGGAGAACATATGGTCACCATCGCTGTATACTGTGGTCATTTCACTTTTTGTTGTATAACAATGAACATATGATAACACAGCACTGTTTAATGCAAAACCTTTTGATTTATAAGTACTGTTTGGTCACTAAATTACCACCGCAAGTCTAATTAAGCACCAATCCAGAGGCAGCCCTCTTCTTGTGCTGGGGCTGAATCTCAAATGGCTCCCTGCTCTCTACATAGTGCACTATGTAAGAATTTAAATACTGGATACTGCACACCAATGGTGCAAAATATAGCTACGAAATAGTCATTTGGCAATTACTTGATAAATAATGCATTTAATTTGCCTGTAGAGGCTAGAATTTCAAAACTTTCAATGCTGCCAGACTATTTAGGGAGTACAGAGCCATTTGGGATGCAGCCTGTTTGCTGTGACTTCTGACTTAAACGCGAACATTTGAAGCGTGTAATCAATTCAAGTGACATTTTTAGACTTTTATACTGCTGTTTTACAGTTAATCATACTGTAAGTACTTTAATTCAAGCCTGTGATATTAATGATGGAGTTGTTTAGACTTTTAGCCTGTTAGCTAGCTGACCAGCCTAGTTCTAGTTAAGAAAATAAGTTGCCAGCCCCTCTGTTTGGACAAAAAAACTGGTTCTTACTTCATCAATTTACTCGGTGGTCCATGCAAGCAGCATGAGAGTCAAAGATAATTCCATTAACAACAAAAGGTTATTTTCGTGCTTGAATGGTTTTATAATTTTATATTTTTGTTTTTTTGATGCTATAATGGCTAACTAGCAAAAAATGAACATGTGACATAAGCAATCATGACATTAAGGATTATGATATCTGTCATGACAATTACTCGCAATGGCAACAGGATACTGTTTTATTACTGAACAAAATCTATTATGTCAACTCATGACGGCATATGGCATGTGCCATGACATGTTTAGGGCATAGTTATATTAAGTAAAGTGTCACCACATGTAGTAATGCTGAGTATTTGTAGAAATTATGTCTCTGGAATACAGTCTACCATTTTGAGCAAATAAATGCATGGGCAAACAACTCACAGTCATCTTTCCTCTTTACTGTGATTAAATACACTCACCAGCCACTTTAGTAGAAACACTTACTTTGTTGGTCCACTTTTTAGATGTAGAACTGGAGATGATAGCTCATCTTTTGATACGCAGTTTGTGTTAGTCGTCCTCTAGTCCTTCATCTTTGGTCAGTTTCTGACCACAGAGCTGCTCTTGGCTGGGTGTTTTGGGTGGTGGGCAACTCTCAACCTGTTCTATACACTCATACCAGCACCACAAACCCTGCTGTGCCAGTGTTGTTGCTATGCTGGGAATGATCCACCACACAAATACAGTTTGGTCAACACCAGTCTCGTGGTCAGAAACTGACCAAAGATAAATGGAGATGGTGGCAGACAATAAGCGCTTGATCACAGATAAGCTGCAGTCTGTAACTGTACACCAACACAAGGGACTTATATGGTAGGTATTTCTAAGAAAGTGGCCATGGAGTGGAAGTACAAGGTAAATGTTTCTAATACAGTAGATGGTGATCGTAAATCAATTATAAGCACTTAGCAGTCTGAATGCTCACTCAGAAACAGTCCATCCAATGGTAAAGACAGCATTGTGCTTCTTTTTGTACAATGATAGACAACACAGTAGTGCACCTAACGTTCCAATTCCACATGCTGATCCATTTTAATATGGCTAACATGGACATGCATGCACACCAACTACTATGGTGTCAGATTTAAATGAGTTAAATTGAAGCAAACAAACGACAGATTTTAATTGGGTTAATCTAGTGTTCTTTTTTCATGTTACTACTGACAGTAAAATACTAAATAATTTTTGCAGAATAAAACAGCAACATTGCTGAGTTTTTACACCCAATTTGCTATGTTTGGTTCTTTTAGAAAACAGTTATTCGTGTTTATACGTCATTTCTAAAAAAACAGCATTACTACAGATGAATTATATGGATTAAATTGAACAGCTTGATATATTTATCAAGCCTTAGACGCAGGAGTTCATTTCTATGGGACTGTAAATCTCATTGTTATATGACTGGCTAGACTTGCAGTCAACCCTCCACTTTCAGCTCATGCAACCACAGATCAATATCCACATTTCTAGCACTCCTGAGTCGATATGGGACTGATTACCAAATATATCTTTCCTCCAAGCTCTGTCACAGCTAACCTTACATGGCATAGCCAGGGATTTTGGAGAGCTTCATACACTGTTAGAAATAAAGGCACTATGCAGGTACATTTTTGTCCATCAAGGTACAAACAATGTAAATGTACCCTTGTGAACCTTAAATAAGTTTTTCTCAGGTGAAAAATACGAATTTGTATCTTTTCATAAGCCTGGAGATGGGATGGAGTTTGTTATGGTACAATCATGTTCCCTGACTAAAGATACTGAGCTGTACCCTTGGGGGGACCACCCCAGTGACAAGAGGGGTACTGCCCCGGAGACAGTTTTATACCTTTTTTTTGAAAGTGTAGTTTGCCTGAACATTCTATGTTGTCAAAACAGGTTTATACGACCAATTTATTCATTTATAAAACTGCACCTAATGTCACAGTATCTATAAAGTTTTGACAGTGTCTTGCGAGAATCAAGCTGCAGCCTTTATGTTGACATAGTAATGAGCTTGTCACTATATACAGTACCGATCACAAGAATCTCTGTTTTCAGTAATGTAGAGACAATTTGTTGAAGATGTGTGTACAAAATGATCCTATTATGATGCTACTACAATATAACTTCATAGAACACCATTTCATATGAATTAATAGGAAGCTGTATGAAAAATGAAGAAATATTAGAAGTGTAGAGAATGATAAATAAAACTAAAGATGATTCTATACTAACTGAGAACCTGTATACCATCAGGAAGTTAACATCCAGAATGCTTCATATTTAGAAAAAGGTGATCAAACCTCACAGCAGACAACTTGTCAAAACATTACTACAGTTAGGTAATTACATTATATTGTTTGTCATTTAATAACTTTTTGACATTTAAAAAAAATAACAATTAAAAATAAAAAATAATGAATAAAAATAACAGAAATTATTAGTATGACACATGATATTAAACTTTTTAATGTAATTTTATCAAATAAACACACTGCAATCCAACTATATGTGTGTACAGCACAGAAGTTTAGTATATTATATTAAAGTAATTTAGTATATTATAGTGCAATCTGGACTTTTTTGTTAATGTTGTAAATTCATATGCAAAAGTTTGAACAGCCCTGGTCAAATGACATATTCTGTGATTTTCTAAGTGAAAATAAGTTAATGTGTACTTTACAGGCTGACATTTCTATGCAGTTTTTTAGCACACAATTTCTTTTCATTTGCTGAGTTTCACATATTGGAAAAAAAAATAAAACATAAAGCATAAAATGGGTCAAAACCTTTGCACAGACAACTATTATGTTTCCCCCTAATATGCTAGATTCAGCAAATGAACAGTAATTGTGCATCAAAATGTGTAGACATGTTTTCTGTGGAGGATGTGTTAACTTATGTTCATTAGAAAATCAAGAAAACATGCAGTTTGAGTGCCTAAACATTTGCATACAAGTAGTTGCATACATATAGTTGTAGTAGATCTCATTTTTTCTGACCAACTTTTAGTCTACTTTTGTAAACACACTCTAAAGAGAAACTCTGATCTAGGATCAGATTCCCTACTGACTGTACTGACCTCAGGCTAAAGTGTCAAACTGGTCCAGATACAGCTCTTCCTGCTCTTAGTGTTCTGGCTGCTTCCTCTGAGGCCCAATAAGAGATAAAAACTGAAGGACGAGATGAATTCAGTATACAAGCTGTACTATTTCTTATCCTCTTTAGCAGCAGCTCAGTTATAAATAGTGTCCCAATGAAACGAAGACCACACCATTGAGAGAACATTTATTTGCTCAGCTTGTTAACTGAAACATGTCTTGTGAAACACTGCCTTATCTTGCCTTGTACCACAGAGATATGCACTGCATTTGTGAAAGAAGTTCCAGGCTATACAAAGGCCTGTAACCTTGAGGAAAAGACTCAGAGGCTTTGAGTCTCATCTTTACCACTGTGTGATGCACATTAGTCACATTAGTTCATATTTCTTTTTAGACACTCAGTATTGTGCAAAAGTTAGAGACCACCCTTCATTTATTTCATTTCCTATCAAAACAGCGGTTAATTACAAGTAATTCATCTTTCTATAAAAAATTCTGCAGAGATTAGATCTAAGATAATCCGCTTGCATCAGAGGAAAGTCCAAGTAAAAATAAGTGAAAAACATGAGTTTCCAAAACTCATTAGTTAAAAAATATGTATATTTAAAGATACAGAGGATCAGACTCCTAACAACTGTGCGCAACCTGGTAGACCACCAAAACCATCACCATCAGATAAACAGTACTTAAAGCTTTCGTCTTTGAGAGAGAGGAGGAAATCAAGCTCCACTCTTGCTTCAGACATAAAAAATCCATGTGTTTCAGTCCATCCTTCCACTGTCATAAGACAACTCAGTGCTATGAGTCTGAAAGGATGTGTAGCTGTCAAGAAGCCTCACTGAAAAGAAGGATGTGTGGAGCAGCAAGTCTCCTGAATAGAATAGGAGCTGGTGTGAACAAACAAAAGCAAACATAATACTGGAAAAAAATAAATATTTTACACATATACAATATTTTATACATGTCATCATCTGTATCATTTCATATATCATTTGTATCGAAAGGCCCTTTTGACTGGATATGAAATAAATAAAGAGTGGTCTCAGTCTTTTGCACAGTTTATGGATTATGTTCATTAGAACCTAATGTCCCCTGATCTATTATATAGTGGCCCTAAAGGACAAGACTACTTTTAAAGAAAGGAAAGACCAATCAAAATAAAACAAATATCTTAATAACAGTAAACAAAATAAACTATAGCAGGTTTGCCTCTGAACTTGACAGATAACCGAGTCTAAACAATAGTATTTGCTGCTATTTGCATCATACACATCATAAAGCTTAATTTAATCTATATTAATCAATAATAAATCATGTTAAATTGCCAATTCTGCATGGCTTAATTGCTTATATTTAATTAAAGCTGTAAAGCTGTTTTTATTCTAAAATCTATCATTCTCACTCTATTTGTGCCTAATAGTCTGTTTACTGTCTGCCAAACACCCAAATGAATTCCTGCTGTAGAACAAAGACAGATGGGAATTGATTAAAATACATCATGCTATCTCCATCTGTCATCACCACGGGTATGAACTTTAATCCTGCATACAGCGAGAGAGAGAGAGAGAGAGAGAGAGAGAGAGAGAGAGGGAGAGAGCGAGAGAGAGACAGATATAATGCATGGAGGCAAGGTCACATGAACTCACCTAGCGTGGAGCAGAGCAGACAGCAGGAGGCTAGCAGAATCAGACATGAGCTTTGTGCTGGTATCATGATGCCACTGGTAGCATCAGAGCAGAGCAGTGGACTTTTAGGGTGTCATGGACATCACAGAGCTGGACATACAGACAGAGGTGTTTCTTAGCATATATAAAGGCGTCCAGCTTCATATGCACTTGGCAAGTATGCAAAACCCCCTGGACATATGTGGACAAGCAATATGCATGATGAATTGTATGCATACATGACTGATTATACTGTGCACAAGAACATGCATATTCATAGCTATGGATATGTCATATGTCATATCATATATCATATCTCTTGTAAAATATGCCAAGATGCTATGCTCACTACAGTGGTGCATGAAAAGGAACAGTGATACATCATGAAACATTGCACACAAACATGACTGAAGATTATATGTACAAAAACATACCTAGTTATAGTCAGACATGAATATATTACATATACTATATCATATACCATGTACATATCAGTCTAGGTGTTATGTTTGCTACAGTGGTGCATGCAGGAGCATCAGTACATCCTGAACATTTACAACTGTACACGTCTAAATGATTGTGCATAGGCAAATATCCATATTGTTGCCCAGTAATGTATCACATCACATTTGTGCACAGAAGTAATGCTTACAGTAGTCCATGCATGAATAGAGTCGACACTGACATACATAATCAGCATGCATGTAAACACAGACACATGCATGCAGACATTCAGTGTTTTCTTTCTCTCCCCCTCTGCCCCAACACGCACTCTAACCTGTCTGTGCAGAGGATGAACAGGCTACAGGTCTTCAGAAATCTGCCTTTCTCTCTCTAGCAGCCCTGCGTCCATGCCACCCCAGCCTGTTTCCCCAATACTCTGCGGCTCACATTCACACCCACCACACGCATGCTGTGATTCTCTCCTCCTCCCTCTCCTCCTCCTTCTCCTCCTACTCTGCAAAACAAGCCCTGCCCTCTTTCCCCTGAGAGTCTCCTCTCCCCCCATACACACAAAGAGAAAGACAGCCAATCAGAATGATGGATTTTTCCTGCTCTGCAAACGACTGCCACCTCTTGGTGAGCCACGTAAACTAGCCTCCCTCTCTCTGACCTAATGACGGATAATGTTTTACACATAAACTCACATAAATGCGTGTGGGGTGCATGCATGTTTCTGTGTCGGAGAAAATTAGGAAAGAAGGCCCCTGCGCCCCCCGCACAAGACCAATGTCCATGTACTGTAAAGCTAAAGCATATCTGTGCATGAGTGTATGATGTACAAACCTTCACACAGTCAAAGGAAATAGACTGGAACAGCAGACAGTTTTGTTTTAATAGCACAAGAAAAGAAAATATTTCAAAGAGGCATCTTTCACCATTGGTGGGTCAAGACAGCACCCCTTAACAACCCTCCCACTTGGGGTAAGAAGCTCCCCTGGTAAATCTTGCATGTAGGTTTTACAGAATGTATAATTATATAAATAAAATAATAATAATAATAATAATAATAAAAATAATAATAATAATAATGTCAAAAACTGTGTTATTGAGTATACAAAAATATAATTTTTAAAAATAAAATTGAGGCCTCTGACAATATGAGTCTAAATGATTCCACTTAATTTTATCAAGTTAGGACAAAACACAAATGACAATAAAATAGAAAAACGTATTTATTTATTTAATATTTATTAATTAAATAGTTGCTGGATTACATTAACTGCATAATGGTAGATTGTATATTCATTTAATGGTATTATTATGACTATTAATAGTAGTAGTAGTAGTAGAAGTACAGCATTAATACTAGCAATGACAAATTAAACAAAGCAGTAAAGAAATAGCATTCAAAACTAATAGCAACTTAATGCCAGGGATGGATTGCTGACCAGGCTAGTTGGACAGTGGGGCCAATGGCCAGGGCCCTCTGGAGGCAATGGCAGGAGTCTCAGACCACAAGGTTCAATGTGGTTGAGACAGTCCACTGCAGAGTCAAAAATGAGATGAATAAATAGCCCTTATATCAATTAAAAAACTAAATAAAGGCCCCTCAGCCTATACTCTGATACCATATTTAAAATAATTAAAAATCCCAACAACACATTCACATTACATCAGAAACAAACATGAGACATTTTATTTAAGTTATTTTTCAGATCCTTTTCTTATTTGCAATACTGTCAGAGTCTGGGGGTAGGGGGATCTCCTAAGGCACTTGTACCCAGTGGCCATATAAGAGCATAATCAATCTCTGCTTAATAGTGATGCTAGATAGCCAGTCCACATCCTGTAGTCAGCTACTTTATGACTTTCCGATGAAAATGTAGCTAAATAATATTTTTGGGACTGTATTGTAAAGGATTTTGCCCTGTGTCTGGGGGGATGTCTTGCCTCAAAGGTCTAACTTTACCATTTTACCTCAAAGGTCACAAAGGTTACGACTGGCCCCATCATTTAATCAAGAGACAGAGAAAAAAGGTGCACTTCTTACTCTGGGGAGCTTCTTCCTCCGATTTACCCTACTGCTTAGTGACTAGATGTCAGGACAAGGCTCCATTTTAAAAATTTTAAAAATAAATAAACCTCGACATTAAAAATGTAAAGCACCAAGATGTAAAAAGTATACATTGAAAATCTAAATTTTAATGACATTTAAAAAAAAAAAACACCAGTTTCCTTAAGAATTGCATTATTTAATGCAAATAAAAGCTTCACACTCTTCCATCAGTCCTCGCTGCTCTTTACAGCTCTGTTCTTCTCCTGGACCTTTTTTATTTTTTTTTTTATTTTTTCACCCTTATTCATCATGTATGCCCCATCTCTCAATTGTCTCTCACAGCTTCTTATTTTTACACTGTGCATGTCTTTTTTCAGTGATACCACAATTTCTCCTAACACAGTGGTGCAGTGATATATGTGATACAGTAATGAGCCATAATGCTATTCTTTTACAAAAGATATCTGTTAAATGATGCAGGCTTTACTAGCTCAACTCACATCTAAGAACATAATGTGAGGCCTAATCACTCTTAATTATCTCTTAATCTGCCTGTTCTTTCCTTTATTTAACTTTATTTGTACAGAAATATGTCATCTGAGATGTGTGTACCATATATTTTACTGTCTTATTGCTTTTTTTGAGTGTGTGTGTATTAGAGACAAAATAACAAACTATAACACATGACAATGAAAGTTTATAACTGAAGGATCATTTAATGAGATGTTATTCAGTTTACAAACAATATTTCCAACTTCATCCGTTTAATGTTCATGTTTATTAGTTATAAGTGAATTTACAGATGCATGTTGCTTGTTTAGTGTATTTCAGCCTAGTAACCTGCCGGCTGTTCAGTCATCTCCTCTGAACAAAGAAAAAAGGGCGATGTCACGTAATGGAAAGCAAACATGAGAAAAAAAACTGTTCATGTGCTTTATTATCATTCGCATACTCAAGAATTGCATCTTGTGGTTTGGAACACAGCACAGCTCGATATAACTATGCTGAGTGTATATCTGAGTATGTATCTCTATTTGTGGTATTAGCGACTGCGTGCAGAGGCTTTTGCAATGAAAGACTGTGTGTGAAAGTTATGTAGGCGTCAGTTGATGGCTGTGTGGTATTTAGCCACAGTGTTTTGCTGCCTCTGTTTGAATATATGGCTGTAAGAGGCCCACTTACCGCACCACTGCGCTAAGCTGTACGCCGCAGGGGTTTCACTGCTGGAGTTAAAACTGTGCAAGACAAAAATCAGCAGAGGCATTTATGATTAAGAGTGTGACCTCTCAAACGTTCATGTAAAATTTCCAGTAACCTGAGATCACACTGTTGTCTGATGTAGGGCATGTGCTAGACTATTTCAACCCTTGTATTTTAAACCATTAATGTCCATATCTGAAAATGTACATTTTCAAAAAATCTATAAAATCTAACTATTCAGTCCACTTCTCATATTAACCCCTTCAAATCCCAAGGTTATTACATTGTAAGGCTTATTATTAATTAATAAGCCTTACAATGTATTAAGTAATTACATGGTTAAGCTGTTTCAGTTATTCTTAAAATCTAGAAGTAGGTAATAAAGCTTTAGAACAAGTTCTGCTTCATTTGTTCTCATCGTACTTCATTTAGTTGTTGAACAGTTGAATGTGCTCATTTGTAATGATTGTTGTATGTGCTGTTCAGGTTTCACTGACCTTTCTGTGGTTTTTCCTTCCTTTCCTTTTTGGATGGAAAAAGTATTGTTATTATAAGACATCACTGTTAATGTTTCAGAAGTCACATTTGTCTTAGGAGAACAAAGTCAGTTACCTTTGCGTTTTTGTACTGTGGCATATGCAACGTTCACAGTGTGACAGGGCTGTCCTGCTGAACCTCTGTTGAAAAACAGTGTCATGATGGAGGTTTTAAGGCCTGTTTGTAAAGTATGACTTAAAATGATATGAAAAACACATCCACTACAGGTGAATGCAGTGTTTTTTTTTGATAGATCACTAGTCACTGTGAATCTTTGCCAGCTGATTACTAGTATTCTATCTATTGTTGTATTTATTGGATTATTGTATTTGCATTTTAAGTAGCCAAACAACAATAGCAAACTAATTAACCCTTTAAAACTTCATACTTATTACATACTAAGGCTTATTATACAGTGGCTACAAGGACTTCAGTGCAAACTGGCTGAGCTATTCTAAGGTTATACAGGAGTGTAATAAAACTTTGGGCCTGCCAGCAGGCCCTACCCATTAAGGGGTTAAATATGCATCTCTGGAGTGTCATTGTTTTATTGTTTAATCAAGAAAACACTATGCACTGTTACTACAAAACATTTTTCTGGTCACTTCTAACATCAAAATCTAGCATGAATCCATCTATTAGCAATATAACCAGAAACTTGTGTAACATCTTTCAGAATATGGTTAAGAATGACCATGTTAAATGTTTTTTGAATGAAGCTGATTTTGAGAAAAACTATTTTAAGAATCGATCTCAGACTGTTTTACTCAGTAAAAGTAAACATGCATTCAGAAAACATGAACTGTGAGAATGGTGTCAATAGGACTAATAAAATAAGGTAACACTTTACCGTAGGGCACTGCTCATAAGGCCTACGTGACACCTTCATAAGCCCTTCATGACTTACATAGACTTACATTAACATGTATAAACACTTATTCCAGGCCTCATATTCCAAAAGGTTGCATTTCCCAACTTTGATGTCAAGTTGATAAAACACATCAGGTTAAATTTTTTCAGACATTATTTCTAAAACTATGTGTATATCACAATAACATACTGATAATACGAAGCTTGCCAAGTCAGGCTGGTTGAACAGTAGCAAGCATTTTCTGTGGTCCTTAGGTAAAGTGAGTTTCATTTTACTATTTATAAGATTTAAACTATGTACCAAGCTACAAAGTCAGTTGTTATAATGTGCTACGTCATGCCATGTTACCCAAAAAAATGTCATGACACAGATGTCAACTTGACATCAACGTCAACAAAAGCAGCCTTTAAGACAGACGACACCTGTTGGAATGAACCTTTACATAAGTTTAAGTCAGATGTTATGAAGGGCTTATGTAGGGGTCATGAAGCCTTATGAACATTGCTCTACAGTAGTGTTACAGGAAATAGACAGTGATATGCGACATGATCTGTTTGTGCCAAGTGTGGCGGAGCTACGTCTTCATAAAAGTTGCTAACTTATGAAAGATACAGCTAGAGAGAGTGAAATAAAATGACAAAACATGTTTTATGGTTTTATGATTACAGTTTAAGAAAAGATATGTTATTATAAAGAGAGGAATTTGTTGAGTTGAATTGCAATCACTACAGTGGAAAAATGTGAAATGCAAACATAAAACCCCCTCTATTACAGTGTTTTCACATTAACCTGTTTACTGAAATACAATAGGGATATTGTTTAAATTGTTAAGAATATTTGCTTTTAAAAAATGAAATGCTGAATATTAAATTATGTATTGTTATTTGGTAAAGAATTTTCCACTGTAGTGATTGTATTTTAAATTGGGATGAGTTCCTCTCTGCAGTTTTAGATGAAACTTATCCAAAAATTGTGGAAAAAGACGGGAACAAAAATAGTCGTTTCTGCCTGTGGTTTCTTGCCTTAACATCACCTGTTGGGAAAACTACTTACGGCTGATCACTTTGATCCACAGGATGTGCACCTTAAAAATATATATGAAAGAATATTAGATGCATTTAATATATACAAATAAGATGGTGACGAATGAATGAAAAGTAACTACCTGGGGTTATTTCACAGTAGTACGGGTCACTGTCTGGACTGGCACTACGGGACAAATGACAGTGAAAGTGTTGTAATTAACATCTATGTGACTCCTAGTAACAATACTAGACCTTTACTTTCCAAAACATCTTAAATGGGTATACAGCACCTTGTGTCAGGATTCTGGCACAATCCTAAAAAAACAAATGAATTCTGATCAGATTTCACAAATCCAAAAATCCATTTGTGGAATCTTCATGGTGAATGGACCAATAGAAATGCTTCAACATTGCTTGTATTAAAATTTTACATTAACTAATATTAAAAGTAACAGGTATTTTGCCTTCTCCTGTAAAGTTGCTATTTTGGAGAGACATTTGTTTTCTTGGTGGTGACCATGAACTAAATAAAGTGGCCTATTTCATCCAATAGATTTGATAAAGCATGTTTAATGAAACATTTATCTAAATGCTATGTGTGGTGAGGCTGGCAATCATACTGTACTTACTTATTGTAATAATGTCTCGGCACCAAAAAAATATAAACATTCCCAGCACAAATGCTAATGCAACAATCAGTAGTATTATAGCATTAGACAGCCCTCCATCTGTAGATATAAGGCCTGGAAAAAAAATATATATATATAGAAAATATATTGCATATGTAGAGATTGTATAGTGTAACATAAATAGGTCAAATTTCTAGGAAATCCTTACAGAGCATTGCTTACCATGCACTTCAACACAGATTGAGTTTTCTCCAGTCGTTCTCACCTCATTGAGAGAGTAATTAAAAGTCGAATACACACAGCTGTAGTTACCAGAGTGTTGCTGTTTAACATTATTTAAAAGGAATGTGGTAGTAATAGAGTCAATGCTACAGTTCACTGTCCTGGTGCTCGTCCCGATTCCATTTAAACACAGGTAAACATAGACTTCAGTGCAGCTTTGATGTCCTGTGATGCTGCATGTCAGTGTCAGGTCTTCACCCTCTCTTAAAGAACTCTGTGCTCCTGTAATCTTGGCTGGCAAAATGTCTGTGCAGAAGTAGGTAGTTTACCGAAAACATAAACACTCAGTAATGTAAGATGAATAAATGACAAACTGTGAAATATGACCTACCAAAAACGTCCAGTGAGACTGAGTTACGTCCTGTTATATTCATCTTACATGCAGCGTCTTTCTCCACCGAATAAACGCAGGTGTACACGCCTGAATCTTTCACAGTAACTTTGTCAAAAACAAACATTATATCATCTTCACTTTCTCCCAGCTCAGCTGTCTTCATTGTGGCACCTTTCCTGCAGAGGTGCACATAAACCCTCTGTGTTCTTACATCAGTAACTTTGCACTTAAATTTCACTTCTTGACCTTCCTTCACTTTGGAGTTTGCAAGAAAAACCTCTGCTGGACTTACATCATCAGGACTTTCTAGTTATGAGAAAAGAATTCCACAAACCAAATAATATCAAATGCTGAAATATTTAGAAAAAATGAAAGCAAATATAGCAAAAAAGAACAAAGCAACATTCTTTCGAAGTGATCATATGAAATGACACAGGTTACCTTTCTGAAGGGACGTGGACAACATGATCAAGACTGATAAATGAGAAAGAATAAAGAGTATGTGAGCTGTCATAGTTCTCAATAAAACCCCTGACATTACTGAAGAACCTTTGAAGAACCCCCTTTTTTAAAGGAGTAGTAAATATTTATACTTACATGTCGCCACCAGCAGTTCCTTCATTTTGAACATAGTTTCTTATAAAACTGTTGTACTGGTCACTTCTCAAAGTCTTTGTATATCAGTCCTGCCAGTTCATGCTGCCTAAACGCGTTTGATAAGATCAGTATGCTGCGCGGATGTGCTCTTTCACACCTCCACACTGACCAAGCAGACAACGACACACACTAACAAGCTCAGACTTCAACTTCATACAAACTTTTGTGGAGGCTTCAGAATTTTCTCTTTTCCATTCACTCTAATATATTTTGTTTGGTGATTATTTTCCAAGCATTGACGTTTGATGGTCTTTTCATGCATTTGGTAAGTTTTGCCCCAGTATGGATGATCTAACAGACAAAAATACATATAAATCTACATTATATAAAATAGACTGAATATCAGTCTGTGTATTGAGCACCAGAGGTGTGTATGCTGGGAAGGCAAAGGGCCGTTTACATTAAGTTTAAATATGAGCACTGCATTTGAGTCGCTAGTAATTGTGTATTATCCTCAGGGGTGAAGGTACAGGTAGAGTCTTGTGCGCACCCAATGAAATTTAGGGAAAATATGTTTTTGCTTTTTATATTTTTATCTGTAACACTTAACAGGAGGGCAGTATTACCAAGGCTACATGACACCTACATAAGCCCTTAATGACAACTGATAGAAACCTACATAAACAATTATAAAGGCTTATAATTCCAGTCTTGGTTTGATGATTTTCCTGCTCAAATACACTTAGTAACTCCCTTTTGAGTTGAATTAGATGTGTTTGAGCTGAGAAAACTACAGAAGGGAGACAAATTGAAAGAAAACTTTTGTGTGTTTTAGTAAAGTGTTGGCCAGCACAGGTTGCCGTAACAGCTTCAGTGGACCTTGCAATAGATTCTACAAGTGTCTTGAACTACACTGAAGGAAAGGGATTATTCTTCCAAAAAAATTGACTGTGAAGACAATATCATATGATTTACATCCTTTTCATAATTATCAAACCATTCAATTATTCATGTCCTGTAGATGGGGTCGTTGTCATCCTGGAAAAGACCACTCCTATCAGGATAGAAATGTTTCATCATAGGATAAAGGTGATATTGATACTGATTTGCAGTGACGCTTGCCTCTAAGGGAGACAAGTGGACCCAAAGCATGTTAGCAAAATGCCCCACACACCATAACAGAACCACCGGACCCCTTCCCTGTAGAGGTCATGCATTCAGGCCTGTGCCTTTTTTTGTGGTGTAGGCCTCAAATGTTCTGTCTCACATGTGGAGAACAAAGAGAAGGATGGCATTTCTTTTTATTTCTAACATTCTGTGTTGACCAGTGTCTGTGGGTTTTGCACGACTGAACTCCCAAATGTGTATTTGTCTTTGTAATGAGGGTTTTATGCAACACTATTATAACATCATACTATGAATTTTGTGTACAGACTGATCTTACTGACACAGTGAGTATTTAAGAGTCTCTGCAAATGAAAAATACCAAATACTAAAGTCTCTGTGCAGGTATGGCCACTGACAGTAGAGTGGTTCCACAATATCTGTGAGCCAGACATGTTCAGTCTCCATGGTGATGTCTTCCTGGATCAGCCTGTACTGTGAATGAGCTTGTGTTAAATTGGCTAATTGCTGTGTTGTGCTTCTGGGTGAAGATCTTGGCGGTAGGTCTGCACCATAGAGACTGATTAAGAAGCTGTTAACACTTTAAAAAGATTTGCTCAGGGTCAAAGTTCTCTTCACTGCTTTTGAAGAGATTATTAGAATCACATCTGAGCTGCACTAATGCTGCAGTGACCTTCTGGTATTCATGTGACCCACACAGGCAAAACTCATAAAAGGGGTGTGAGACGCCCGGTTCGCAGTAAGAAAAGTTACATTTCACTGCGGGACAGTTCCCTCAGGAAGCTAGGAGGCACAAAACTCAATTACATAGTTTCCATTATATTTTTTCATATTTCAAGGTTCTACACACTGAGCTGCCAGTTTATTATACTTTGTTTTTCAACTCACTGGCCATTTTATTAGAAATATCTATCATATAGGTGCCCTTCAATCATTTCTTGTGTGCATCATATAGGTGCCTGTAGCCCATTTGTCATATAGGTGCCTGTAGCCCATTTGTCAATCCCACTCTAACCTGTACATCAACAGAAAAGTCCTACAGTAACACTACTGACCAGATATCATTTGGGTGGTGAACCATTTATACATACCTGAACCATGACACCAACATGGTAGTGGTACGTTAGCAGACGTTGTGCTTATTTGATGGAAATGCATTTTATTGGAGGTTAATTATTAAGTTCTTTTATTCTTATTATCACTTAAGCAGACCAGAGCATTTACTGTTGTCTTTTCAATAGTATTTGTCTCATATTACATAATTTATAGGAATTACATGACTGAAATGTTTGTCCACACTCTAAACCCTAGTTACTTGTACAGCACCAACTAGATGACACACTTAGGCTACACAACACCACTAGGAGAAGCTGAATGGTAAAACACTGATATCTTTTTCATTTGGCTCGGTTGGTCACACAATGCAACGACTAAAGTGCACCGAATTGCTACATCAAATTACACATGGATGTTCATTTATTGTCCAAAATTTGAAACAAATAGAAAAATGAAACAAATAGAAAACAGAGATGCTTATCATCTATGTATATCACAAACAAAATAATAGGACTAAACCTTACTTGATATCTGCTTATTTATGATTGGTTTACCAATTAGAATTTACCCAATCAGGTCACTGGTGCTTGGTCAAAGATATGCCCTGTATATGTCCTGATGTCAAATATTACTATTATACATGCAAAAATAATCACTCCTACTGAGAACAATATTCTGATAAAATTGATCTGCCATTGTTGATTGGTGATTTGGTGATCTGGAAAAAAGTGAAAGTAATTTTAGCTTTAGTGTCATTCATGTGATTCAGGCTTAATTAAGCCATTAAGATATATAGGCACAGAAGTAAATCTAATGTAAACTGAAGGTAAACTTACCATGCACTTCAACATAGATTGAGTTTTCTCCAGTCGTTCTCACCTCATTGAGAGAGTAATTAAAAGTCGAATACACACAGCTGTAGTTACCAGAGTGTTGTTGTTTAACATTATTAAGAAGGAATGTTGTAGTAATAGAGTCAATGCTACATTTCACTGTCCTGGTGCTCTTCCCGATTCCATTTAAATACAAGTAAACATAGACTTTAGTGCAGCTTTGATGTCCTGTGATGCTGCATGTCAGTGTCAGGTTTTCACCCTCTCTTAAAGAACTCTGTGCTCCTGTAATCTTGGCTGGCAAAATGTCTGTGCAGAAGCAGATAGTTTACCGAAAACATAAACACTCAGTAATGTAAGATGAATAAATGACAAACTGTGAAATATGACCTACCGAAAACTTCCAGTGAGACTGAGTTACGTCCTGTTATATTCATCTTACATGCAGCGTCTTTCTCCACCGAATAAACGCAGGTGTACACGCCTGAATCTTTCACAGTAACTTTGTCAAAGACAAACATTATATCATCTTCACTTTCTCCCAGCTCAGCTGTCTTCATTGTGGCACCGTTCCTGCAGAGGTGCACATAAACCCTCTGTGTTCTTACATCAGTAACTTTGCACTTAAATTTCACTTCTTGACCTTCCTTCACTTTGGAGTTTGCAAGATTAACCTCTGCTGGACTTACATCATCAGGACTTTCTAGTTATGAGAAAAGAATTCCACAAACAAAATAATATCAAATGCTGAAATGTTTAGCAAAATGAAAGCAAATATAGCAAAAAAAGAACAAAGCAACATTCTTTCAAAGTGATCATATGAAATGACACAGGTTACCTTTCTGAAGGGACGTGGACAACATGATCAAGACTGATAAATGAGAAAGAATGAACAGTATATGAGCAGGTTTTAAAAACAAAGTCTAAACTGCTAATTATATATAATCTGATCTTAGACTTTCTGCATTGGTGTTCAATTTTAAATACAAAGACTACCAAAAAAGTACATAATACTACTAAAGGATCCTATGACAATAATAATCTTACAAAAATGGAAACTTTCTGGTGATAAATAGAACCATTTTAAACGGTTCTTCAAAGGTTTATTTAACAAGTTGAGCTGTCATGATTATCTATATAACCACTGACGTTACTAAAGAACCTTTGAAGAACCCCCTTTGTTAAAGTCGTAGTGAATATTTATACTTACATGTCGCAATCAGCAGTTCCTTCATTTTGAACCTAATTTCACGTAAAACTGTTGTACCAGTCACTTCTCAAAGTCTTTGTATATCAGTCCTGCTTGTTCAGGCTGCCTATATGCGTTTGATAAGTTCAGTACGCTGCGCAGATGTGCTGCTCCACACCTCCACACTGACCAAACAAGTGAAGACACAGACTAACAAGGTCAGACTTCAACTTCATATAAGCTTTTGTGAAGGCTCTAGAATTTTCTCTTTTCCGTTCACCCAAATATATTTGGTATTGTGATTATTTTCCAAGCTTTGACGTTTGATTGGTTTTTCATGTATTTGTAGGTTTTGCCCCAATATGGATGCTCTAATACACAATACTTACAAATCTACATTATATAAAATGGACTGAATATCAGTCTGTGTGTTGAGCACCGGAGGTGTGTATGTTGGGAAGGCAAGGGACTGTTAGTTTAGTTTAAGTTTAAATATGAACAATGCCATTGAGTTGTTAGTAATTCTGTAGTTATCCTCAGGGGTGAAGGTATGGATGCGGTCTTGTGGACATCCAGTGAAATTCAGAGAAAAGAAGTTTTTGCTTTTTACATTTTTATCTGTAACACTTCACAGGAGGACAGCATTCCCAAGGCTATATGACACCTACATAAGCCCTTAATGACAACTGATATAAACCTACATATGCCTTCCTTGAATAATTCCAGGCCTGGAGGACCTTATTTCAGCAAGGTTTGGTGATTTTCCTGCTTAAGTGTACCTAGTAACTAGCTATTGAGCTGAATCAGGTGTGTTTGAGCCTGAAAAACTATAAAAGGGTGACAAATTAAAGGAAAACCCAATGTCATGAGTCTTCGTAAAGTGTTGGGCTACCACAAGCTGCCAGAACAGCTTCTGTGCACCTTGACATAGATTCTACAAGTCTCT